ATAGCAGAGCAGATAGACAAATAAAACATGTAACACTGGGTTAAAGACTCAACATTTTATTGCACTACAGGCTGTTTCATGAGGGGTACCTCAATCATCAGGTGCTAGGCTCTGAGTGAAGGAATAATAAAGTACATAGATTGTGACAGTTTATCAGAACAAAGTATGTTAATTACCAAGTGATTATGTCTCTATTGTTTAGATGGATAAAAGAAAGCCTGCAGGATTAAGTAGTATATCGTAACAAGAACTTGCGTCTATGTCTACATGAACTGAATACTTCGTTCCTTTGATTCAGAGTACAAATCATTACGACAATATTTTGCTAGCAGTGCAATTTTATTCCCTGAATTCGACCTCAAGGTAAGCTTCCTCATGGGGTAACGGTACACTGTGGGTGATCAGTCAAGCGCGTAACGGATTTGAAACAGTTCATTTGTAATTTAGGGGGTTCCACAACTACAAATTAAACGCCATAACATTTTCATATGGACTTTCAATTTTTATTCTAAACAACATACATAATTATCAGCTTTCGGCAGATTTCACTGTTCTTACGCTGAAAAAATACACGAGTGGGTTTGATAAAAATCAAAAGTCCGATAAAGGTGTTAACATTACACTTATAAATTTGTAATTGTTGTAATGATTATTAAATTCCGATCAGTTTTATCTTTTCCCCAAAAAAATCGATGAAGTATTTGCGAAGTTATTACAAAAAGAAGCTGAAAATGACCAAATTTAGTGGTTTTTGGCGACCTTCACTGCCGTTTTATCGAATTTAGACACGAAATATTGTCGTAATGTTCGGGTTGACATATAATAAAATACTTCTCTTGTATACAAAGGTTACATCATTTGGTAGAGTTGGAATATGATTTACATTTAGATAATATACGCCATTTAATTTTGTACTTTATGTTATCTTCTTTAAGCTTCCAAACATATTGGCTAAGTGTAGTGTTATTCTTGTATTTATCATTACGGAATGAGCATGTATGCCCGTTGTATCTACTTTTAAATGTATTTTCCGTAAGACCAATGTATGTTTCAACTTCATTATTGTCGTCCCTACTAATTGTAGCTTGGTATACTACGCTGCTACTTAGACATTTCCCAGATAGTGGGCATTCGTTATGGTTTCGGCAATTGCATAGCTTGCAGTTGTCTTCTGCTTTGTCATTTTTTAGTATGGCTTTATTATGGGCAGAGATTATAGATCCAATATTAGGCATGCAGCTATAACTTATCTTAACAGTGTTCCTATTAAAAATCTTTCTTAATGCATGATTTTGTGGGAAACAATCATCTATAATTCGAAGGAATACGTGGCCAATTCTGGTTTTTACATTACTACTGTAGGGTGGATTAAACCAAATAACGTAATATACCAAGCTACAATTAGTAGGGACGACAATAATGAAGTTGAAACATACGTTGGTCTTACGGAAAATACATTTAAAAGCAGATACAATGGGCATACCTGCTCATTCCGTAATGATAAATACAAGAATAACACTACACTTA